TCAAAATTAAAAAAAAATATCATACAATCCAAACTTAATCCAAAAACATGTACAAAAGGCGAACAAATAAGTTTTTAATATTGATAATTTTTGTATCACTTGTCCATTTATAATATTAGAGTTTTGAATAGATAAATCTATAATATTTTTCTCTCTTGAGACATCTTCTTCTTTATCACCATCTACAATATAATAAAAAAATACTAATAATATTGAAACACAAAATAATAAAAAATTAAATTAAATTAGGTGGGTTGGTGAGCCAACCCGATTCACCATGGGTTTCTTAGTTTCAAGAGTATAATTTTGCATTATTAGTCTTGTTTTGTTTTTAGTTCCTTTGGTAAGTTTAACATAGGTAAATTCTGATTTTTTATTTCCTTGCATTTTGTGGTTTTAGGTGCAGATGTATAAATCCAAGTCAACAAGCATTTAATAATTGAAGATTGGTGAACACAACAAAACCCAACTAGTAAAAGAATTTTGAAAGAAATTTTGTTTAAGCTGTAGAGTTGACATGGGGTTGATTTTTGTATTTGAGCACCCATTGTTATGTCAACTATTGGAAAGGCATTGAACACAAAAAATACATTTTATAGTGAGACAATGGTGTTGAAAGACTGCATATATAATCAATTAAGCAAAGTGGTATAAATTGAAGCTGCTATTTTGCTACATTAAGTGACTTGCCAGGGGAATTAAATTGTTACACTTGCTACAACAGGTTATTAGAATGAAAAATGTACACTTTTGGGAGAAGAGGCAACCTGCTATGACCAATCAAATAGAACTCATCATTATTGCTCCAAGTGAATGAGAAGGATCCTAAACATGGAAACCAATGACTTATTGAACTTGGAAAAGGCTAGACAAAGAAGCTATAGATTTTCAGTCATTCTGAACTGCACTAACTACTAAATTTGCTACATTGTAATTGGAGAAGGGATGGATGTAAGTATAACCTGTTATAGCAAGTTGGGAACTCTAATGGTCAAAACCAAACAGTTGTTGCAATAGAAGGTGATGAATAATACAACTAAAAAGGAAGACTTGGTACTTACTATAGAGAAAAGAAATTGAACTAGTTGGACTAGTTTATGTGGAATATGACCTACTATAGGAAGGTTTAGTCACTTGTAATTGGAGGTTAGGCTAGTCAATAGTAGTTAGGTATAATAAGAATTTTGTAATTATAATGGTAGTTCTGAAGGAGGAAAGAAATCATAAAGTAAGAGAGAATTTATTGTATGTAGGTTTATGTACAATGTAATGTTTTAAAACTTTTTATGACATAGTTCACACTATATGTCATAGTAGGTTGAATGTTTATAACACTTATTGTCACAAGTGACCCAAAGCGTTTCATATAACACTGTATATATTTTGACAGATAAACAAAAGTACGTCATAAAAAAACAAAACTACTTATAAGAGTAATAAAAAGTACGTAATAGTAAGTTAGACATATTATGACAGATTTTTTCGCTACATCATAGAAAACATAAAACTTTTATGACTTCAAGAACTATGATGCTAGAACACGTCATAAAAAGTCCATTTTACTTGTTATAAGACTTTTCTACATAATTATTTTTTGTTTGATCTTTTATATATATATATATATATATATATATATATATATATATATATATATATATATAAAGATATATAATGAGTAGAATAGTCTTCTAGAATAAATATAATATGTAATAATATTATACTATATATTACGATTTTCTTATAAGTTTTGTAAATTATACTAGAACGCTTTGTAGACTTAATGAATATTATATTATTAATTATAAGAAAATTAAAATAATTAAATATCATCTGAAATAATGGTTAAAGTTTTAATTATTAAATATATATACTACCATTTACAGCATTTGTTGATGTAATTATATCATTTTAAAAAGTGCAATTAAAACATTGACTAAAACCCTAAAAAGTAAAGAGGCATTAAATTTAAAGATTTTAAATATTTTGGACAGATACAGATTTTAAGTTGACTTCAAATTTTTAAATAATGAGAATAATTTAAGGAAATATTAGATCTGCCTTATCTTTTCATTGACTAAAGTATTAGGTGAAATATTAGGTAAAAGCTACACCCCTCTAATTCAAGGTATATAATTACAAGAAAATTATCAAAGGCGTTTTCTTAAATAACTTTTTATTGAACAAATATATTTTAAATAATTATATATACTACCAGTTAAATATTATTTCACGCAACAAGACATTGTAATTAAAAATATTACATAATTATAACATTGAATAAAACAACAAACCGTACAAAGTCATAAATACAAAGTGATCAAAATAGCCTCAGTCAATGTTTTATAAATGGGGAAATTGCAACTGACTGAGTTTTATTCAATGAAAAATACACATAATAAAATGATACTAATTCTTTTATCATTTTTAAATAAATATTTTCTTTTTATATTCTCAATAAATAATTTCTATTTCTTAATTTTTTAAATAAAATTGCTCACTTCCCTTATTTTATTTAATAAAATATTCACTAAAATAAAAATTATGAAAAGTCAAGTTTTAAAATATTAATATCAAAGGAGTTTTTATAAATAAAATGTTAAATGATTTATTTAATAGAGAATATTGTTGTTGTTTTTCCTAAAATGTCACTTATCATGAAAAGAAACCATATAATGAAAAATTCTTTTAAAACACTGTAATTGAAATTCGACAATTGCAGTTTCACTTACCAAATGGATGTATGAACATCTATTCCAAGAAAAAAGAAAAATTACATCATGCTCTTATTTTTAAAATAGATAGTCAATTAAATTATGTTGTTTTTTAGGTTATATTATTTTTAAACTAATGACATTAATTAAAAATTTAAGGGAAATATCTAGTTTCTAAAACCAGTGAAAGTTAGAGTTATAAAGAATGGATAATAATATTTTCACACGTATAATGGATTGAAAGGTGGGTGCATGTGGTTTTTGTTAAAATAATAATATACGATAAAATTTTAATACAAATTATAATATTATTATAATGGATTGAAAGGTGGGTGCCTAGGTTTTTTTACGGCCGTTATATTATTATTTGGATATCACTATTTTGATACCACATTTTCTTTTATTACCATCTTATTACTATTTACTTTTTTTCTTTTTTTAGAAATGTAAGAATTAACTTTTGTTAAAATATTTTATTTTTATAAAAATTATCAAAATGATAGTTAATAGTGTGGAATAACCTTTTTTTTTCTCATTATTTTCAATAACAATGTGACAAGCAGAGCCATATATACGGAGTCCCGTTCTACTTGTTTCTGCGCATAATCTGAATAATATCTTACGGATATTCAAGTGTGAAAGATGGCAAACAAAAATGCTTCTTTGCACATATTTTTCTTCCCATTCCTGGCTCATGGCCATATCATACCTTGCGTTGACATGGCCATGGTGTTTGCTGCAAGAGGCGTGAGAACCACCATAATCACCACCCCACTCAATGAACAAAACATCTCCAAAGCTATACAAAAGACGAAAACTCATCAAACCAAAGAGATCAACATCCAAACCATCAACTTTCCTTCTACCACCGAGACTGGTTTACCTGAAGGATGCGAACACGTTAACACCCTCCCATCTCTAGCTTCATTGCCAGCTTTCCATAAGGCTACCAGGTTGCTGGAAGAGCCATTTGAGCAACTGTTGCTTCACCACCACCCAAATTGTGTTGTTGCAGACATGTTTTTCCCATGGGCAACTGATTCTGCTGCCAAGTTTGGAATTCCCAGGCTCGTGTTCCATGGGATGAGTTTCTTCTCATTGTGTGCTTACGAAGTAATGAGATTGTACGAGCCTTACAAGAACACTTCTTTTGACTCAGAATTATTCGTTCTCCCTAATTTTCCTGGTGAAATCAAAATGACAAGGTTGCAGGTGGGAAGTTTTTTTAGGAAAGATGACGTGGAGGCGAAGAGATTCTGGGAGGAAATTCGTGAATCAGAGGTGAAGAGCTATGGGGTGGTTGTTAACAGATTTCATGAACTAGAGAAGGATTATGCAGATCATTATGTGAAGAAATTTGGGAGAAGAGCATGGGCCATAGGTCCGTTGTCTCTTTGCAAGGAGCAGAAAAGATATAGAGGAGGAAAAGAAGATGAGCATGAATGCTTAAAGTGGTTGGACACGAAAGCAACTGGTTCAGTTGTTTACGTGTGCTTTGGGAGCATGACGAAATTTCCTGATTCTCAGTTTCGAGAGATTGCTTTGGGACTTGAGGCGTCAGGGAAAGAATTCATGTGGGTAGTGGGGAAGAGAGAAAAAAATGAAGAAGAATGGGTGCCCGAAGGATTTGAAGATAGAACGAAAGAGAAGGGAGTAATTATAAGAGGTTGGGCACCTCAAGCGTTGATTCTTGAACATGAAGCTATTGGAGCGTTTGTGACTCATTGTGGATGGAATTCAACATTGGAAGGTGTGGTAGCTGGGGTGCCTATGATCACTTGGCCTGTGGGTGCTGAACAGTTTTACAATGAGAAGTTGGTGATTGAGGTGCTGAAGATTGGTGTGCCTGTTGGTGCTAGAAAATGGAGTAGCTTTATGGGAGATGAGGATTGTTGCATAAAGTGGGATGCTGTAGAAAACGCTGTGAAAAGGGTATTGGCAGAGGAAGAAGCAGAGGGAATGAGAAAAAGAGCAAAACTGCTTGCTCATATGGCAAAACGGGCGGTGGAAGAAGGCGGCTCTTCCTACTCAAATTTGGATGCGTTGGTTCAGGAGCTGCTCCCCCTATCCCTTTAACGCGCCTCAAGAACATCCCCTTTTTCAATTCATATTTGTCGCGACAAAACCAAACTGTCCGAAATTGTGTTATCTTTGATGATTAAAAGTTTCAATCAAATGTTTGTGGTTAAATTTCTCTTTCGGGTTGGATAATGTATTCAAAGTTATTCTTTCCAAAATCCAGGTTACGATGCTCTTTCTCATCTCTTTGTCATAGTTGGCGAGAGTGTCTCTAAAATATAATCTAACGCTTAAAAGTGAATCACTTTTCGTAATAATTTTTTAATAAAAATTAGTAATTAGAGTTAATTATTGTCATCTTTCGTGAAACATATATTTATAAATATTATATTTAGCTTACTAAATCTAATAAATGATATTATTACTATTAATTGTCAATAAATGACTATTATTTTCATATTAATTGTTCAGATTAATTTTCAGACCAATCGATTATTTTCTGAGTGGATGGTTTTTTTACTGGATGGTAAGCCCGTCCTTGGCTGGTTAGATGTACAATGTGTATGAAGAAAATTTATTTATTAGTATTCAACCTAACTTCATAATTTTAAAACATTTAAAATACTAAACTACTTAAGTTTTATGAAAAAAACAAATATTATTCATATGTTCATAAGCTAAGTTTCATATTTAAATACATACAAGAAAGTGAAATATGATTTTTGAGTTAGGAATAACATAAGTATTTTATATAAATTTAACTCATATCTAATAAGTATTTTCTTTATATGAGATCTTTTATTTAAAACATAGTTAATTATGTTTTTGTTTTATTAAAATTTATTAATTTTTTAAAATTTTAATATATTTTAATTTTAATTTTGAAATTGAACAATTAATATAATTATTTTAATTTAATTGTGTTAATTTCTTTTATATGTTAAAGTATATTTTAAATTATAAAATGATGCTGATAATCTAAAACATAAATTGACGCGTTAAAAAAATTTATGTAAATTAAAAGAATTATATTAATTTATTTTTAAAATTTAAAATTATACCAAAATTTGAGAGATAAAGAAAAATTAATTTATCTTCAAATTGAAAGCTTTGAAACATATTTAATTTTTTAAAATATTTATCAAATTATAGTCGATTGTTTTTGGATTTTTTATTTTCTCCATAATTCGGTGAAAACTCTTGCTGTATATACTAATCCGAAAATATAATTAATGAGTTTAAATTTGTCATTTTCACGGCAAAACTGGAATTCCCGGGGCCCAGTATTAGTTCCCATGTGCAATTAGAATTGTAATTATGGTTGAATTCCGAGTTTCTGCTGATGCTTTGATCAAGTTAAACGACGGTGCATGGTGCAGAAACACGGTTGATGAAGCGGTTTAATTTTACCAACAACGGTTACGGTTGAAGCAAATTTATGTGAACCTGTATTGTTCGTTGAAGTAGGTTGCAGATGTGAACGTTGATTGATTTATTATCGAAGCAGCTCCTTTCATCAATTTATTCGGTGTAGTAGTATCTGTTCGGTGGAGGACCAAGATTTTCGTTTTGAATGGGCCAACAGATTTTCCATTTTATGGCAATGTTGTTAACATTGAATGGAAAGTGCCGAATTTAATTGGATTATTTTTGGCAGCTGTTGGATTATTTTTGGCGTTTCTAGAACAATATTGGTTCAACAAGCACTAACTCTATGCAGTGACGTGACAGCTGCAAATTAATTTGGATCGAATTGATTCAAACACTAGGTTAGTGAATCAGATAGCTATATTCGTGAAACAGATCGCTTAATTTAGTTCCGCAATTGAAATCGAAACAATCCTATAAACGGCGCCACTTAATTCGTCGCACAAATGAACAACTGCACCAAACCCTTCAACCCCCTCCTTCCATCGTTCAAAAACCAAAAACTAAAAACCACAAAAATCAAACAAATCCAATGACTCTCTCCATTTTTTCCGCCGCGGCCCCCGATCCACTCTTGCCAAGCCGTTATTCGTCGTCGTCTCATCGTGCCTGATCTCCTTCGACGCCTCCCTCACAATCGACATCCATCACCACTTCTCCCTCCGAGCTCCTTTCCTTCTTCCGTGACATGGCCTTCATGCACCGCATGGAGATCGCTGCTAACTCTCTACAAGGCATAACTCGCTTCTGCCACCTCTACGACGGCTAGGAGGCCACCACTGCGGTCATGGAGGCTGGCATCACCAAAAGACTGTATCATCACCGCCTACCGAGACCACTGAACTTTCATCAGCCATGGTGGCACGTTGCTTGAAGTGTTGGCAGAGCTGATAGGGCACAAGAAAAATATAGGATTGTAGAATAAAATAGTATTGTGACTTGATTATATTTTTCTCTATGTTTAACAAGTGTTATGTAATTTACTTAATGAGAGCTTTTGGATGGATTAAGTCGTCTTGTGTTTACATCTTGGTTAGAAGATAAGTGTTATTTTATTATTTGATTTTATTTTACTAACAGTGCAACACATGTTTCGGTGTGGTTGTTAGACTATGATGTGTGTTATTATTCATGCGATATGTTGGTTTGACAGGATCCTAGTAGAATAAAGAGATTCTATGACAACTTATTAAGACATATGAAATTTATTTGTCATAATAAGCCGGTAACATTTTCCTAATGAAAGTAAGAATTAATATGACGTACTTCTATAAAGGTTTGTCATAATAATGACGCTTAATTTACCACTTATCATAATAAGTTGGAAATAGTGATATTTTCGTAATAAAGTTTAAAACATATCATGATAGGTTATAAACCACCTATCATAAAAGCTCTCTGAGTCCCTAAATTCTTCTAGATCATTCTTCGCATATTTTTTCACGCATCTTCTTACGAATTCTCTCTTTCAAAGTTCATCTTCGTTCCTCTCCAAACCTCTTCTTTCGTAATCATTTTTCTTCACACTCACTCAAATCAAATACTTTCTTTCTCTCCCTCTACAATGGCCTCAACCTCAACCTTCACCACTTTCTCTCTACTCCATTCTGCCACCTTCGCCTCATCTTCCTCATGCGTGCAACTCTCCTCCTCCCTTCGCATCCGCCCCCTCACGCACCACCTAAGGTTTAGAGTGGCCGATCTATTGTTGGAGGCGAATGTGGCGGTGCAGGTGGCGGCAATTAGGGTCACGAGGGATAAGAGACGGGTGGTGTCGATGGCGAAAAAGAGCGTCAATACATGAAGCATGGCTTCTACGACCCGAATTCCACTGTTTCAGTTTCGGATCATCACGCGGGTCAAATCCGAATGATCGAAGAATCGCTTCCTTTTGCCTCTATATCTGGTATTCTTTATATTTCGTCGACACATTACTTTCACTCTCTTTTACAATTATTAACAATTATAAAACAATTTTGATTTTCTATAGAATAGTGTGTATTCATACTTGTAGGTGGTGTAAGTATATTGTCACCAAATGTTTCTTGGAAACGGTGGTTCTACTTTGGAATTGGATTTTATGATATTGAGTTATATTTTTTTTTCAATTTTTTGAGTTTGTTTAAAAGTGGTAACTAAATACTATCTATTAATTGTTGACTACTATTTTATTTATGTTCTGGGTTGTCTAGAAAAGCATACGGAATGGAAGAAGATAATAGTTTATGTTGGGTGTGTTATAGGGGGTAGTTCTTGATACTTGGCCGAGAAATTTGGGGCAACCAATGTTGCCATCACTCTCAGTCTTATTCAAGCTTAAAGAGCTAATGCTCTTGCTGCAGCTCAAGGATTGGCTCACAAGGTCTTAATTTCTCGATGTTAGCATAAAGCTAAAGAGAAGAAGTTTTGATGATGTCTCAAAGTAAAATCTCAAGTGCTCTTATTGTAAGAAGATCTTCATGAAGACTTATTTGTATAAGCTTTTGTAATCTAGTAGAGTTATGTATAGGATATGGTTTATCTTTGATTCTATGTATTGTTTGCCTTAGGTTGCATTAAAATTTGTTTTGAAGAAAACCTCATTTTATACTCAAGATAATCAATTATAAGTAATCAATTATGACTTGCCATAATTCATTATCACTGGCAATTATGAGAATTTTTAAGCAAATTTTTTATTGTTAAGCATTCATTAAAAGCATAATCAATTACCATAAGTAGATAATTGATTATCACACGTTAATTAGCTGACAACGAATTTTTAGAGGTATACTTGAGTGAGATCTCTATAAATTGGATTGAGACTCTCATTCTAAAATACGAAATACGTTTATTTGAAAAATCTTATCTGTTGTGTGCATTGATAAGTGTTCTAGGGTTTATGTAACCCTTGTGCGTTGACTTTGAGAACTTGGTGTGGACATAGAGGGAGAACTTTTACTGGGAGTGTGATTGAGTGTTGTTGTTGTTGCTGAGTTAAAGCCAATCATCCTTTGTGAAGATTTAAAGGAGGTGTTCATCCTTCGTGAAGCATTTGGAGGAGGTGTTCATCCCTTATGGGTTTCAAGGGAATTGAGTTTCATCTCTTGGGGTAATAAGAGAAGTGTTCTAACCTTAAACTATTTTATTTTCTTTGTAATTGTAACAATTTATTGGTTTATGATAGTTAAGCGTTAATTCTTGTTTGAGATTAACAACTAGATATAGAATTTGTGATCCAAATTAGTATAAAAATAACCTGTGCAATTTTCTCTATTCTTTACTCTTTTATTTGTTTAAATTTTTATTAAGGAATTTATATTTTACAAGAAAATTATTAAAGGTATTATTTGCGATAAGAAACCAATTTACCACTCTTTTAGTTTGTTGCACACGTTAACCATTCCGTTGCACCGCTCTAACAATTGGTATTAGAGCTTGCTTTGATAGTAATTTAAAATGACAAAGCAACATCAAACCTTTGCTGAGGGTGACTCTATCAATATACCTTCATTGTTTACTAGGGAAATTTATGTTTTTTGGAAAGTGAGAATGCAAATTTTCATGGAATCTATTGATAGTGAATTTGGGAAACTATCAAAAATGGTCCTTTTGTTCCTACGATGTTTATTAACAATTTGTAAGAATCCAAACTGTGAGAACAATGGAATGCTAATGATAAAAAAAGATCCCAACAGGATGTAAGGGCTCGTAACATAATATCATCTGCCTTAACTATTGATGAAT